GAATCAACGGTCCTCCGCCAAGCCTCATATTCGGAAATCTCTCAGAGATAAGGGTGTGTTTTCATATTATGAAATTGCTGTATTGTAAATGTATTCTCTCTTTTTTTTTTTTTTTTTTTTTTTTTTCACTCACTGTATTCGCCCTTAACATATTTTAAGTAATAGCCAGTTGCGCTTCCTTGCAAAGCAACATCGTGAAACACAAAGTTTCCCCGCTGCCTTCACTCAAGTACTTCAAAGGGGCGTGCCAGACATTTAAGCTGATTACATTGACTGCGCCATAGCGAGGATCCCTCCTAAAATAAATCTATCCTGATGGTACGATAACTTTTATTCTGAACAAAGCCTTATTGTGCGCTTTGTCCCCAGATGACACACTGTGAATAAAGCTACTCTTACAACCGGTCGTGCGTGCTTCTACGAGCGGTTTGCGTGCAAAAAATTGGCCAAGTAGTAAGATACACGCACGTGAGCGTACTATTTTTGGTGGACGCAAACACGACGCAAAGCACGCAGCCCGAAAATTGGCCGGCCAGTTTTTCGCTACGACCTGTCTGCGACAATTAGAACGCCTGGAGCACGCTCGTAGCACGCAAGACAAAAGTACTGAGTAAGTGCGCTAGGCGTGCGTGTAACGCAGGAAAAGCATGCAGAAATTACGTGGTATTTTACCACGAAGACGTACTTACCACGCAAGAGACTCGTAAGTTAAACTTGCTTTCAATGTACGTGTTAACAAAAAGGGGGGTGAGCGCACTTCCTCCGTGCGTTTATCTTACTTCCAAAGTGCGTGGCGAGTACTACTACCATACCTGTGAAGTGCGTCACACTAAGACGACGCACGTGCCCAGCACGATAAAAGTGCAGGCGATCCCGAGCAACCACTGCCAGCATTGCGTCACGATCTTCGGCCTCCTCTAGCATTAGCAGCTGTAGAAGTCGATGGCGCATCCTTCTTGGAAGTGCCTTTTTGGAAGCCAAAACAGTGAATGATGAAGAGACTCGGTGCTCCCTTTTATATTATTTTGATTATCCGTGCGTTCCACTTCCGTGCTTATTACGTTTCTCTTACGTTTCTCTTACTTCGTAAGTACGGTTTCTGAAAACGTACGCTTCACTTGCAATACACGTATGATTATCTCACTCACTGTGTGCGACACGAGTACAGATCGTACGTGCTCCTTACTTCTTCCTACTTCCAAAAAAAGGCGTACAGACCACTTGCGGGCCCCACGTTTAGAGCACGACACACCTACTCATAAAGTACTTACTACTTCGTCCGCTGCGATTTAATTTTCATCCTGCGACAACGCTACGTCTGACGAGAACTCCGAGGACGCACGATCTCTAAGCACGCACGACGGGTTGTAAGAGAGGCTTAAGCTACAACAAGCTGTGGCTATAATTATATACAGGATCCTCCATCTTTTTTTATCATATATAAGACGTAAGAACAATATTCAAATCTGAGGTGGCTCTCTCTAATGGTAAAAACCCAGATAAATTAAGATCCAGAGTTTGTACAAATAAAAATGCATTTTGGATCCCAAATTTTGAACAACAAAATGCAGCAAATGGTTCAATGCACTTTAATTTCCATCTAGTCCCAGCCGGTTTGGATGGCATACAGTAAATGGGAACAGATGTATGGAAAAACATATGGGTACGTATTCAAAAGTTTGCCGAGTAATTTGGTGTGCTCCAGGTAGCGTTCAGTTCTTTCTTTGCAGAAAGGACTTACTTTTTAATTCACTAAATTATTTAGACATATTACAGAATTTGAGTGTGAACTTAAGCCATTAACTTATTAATTTGATTATAACCAGGCAGTGCATGTCAAGTTCATTTGATGATCTGCAAAGACACGTGACGTAATTTACATGGATTAATAAAATGCCCAGTGAGGTACATTGCCCGAATGGCAGCTTGTAATTCCACAATAGAAGTGCTGTCAGCAGGTTATTTTAACAATTAAAATTATTCAGCGAGATGAGACATGGGTATGAATCACTGTCAATCTGAATGCATAATTTAACAGTGTTGTTTTCATTTTAGGATTTACTTCTTCAATTCTCCGAGCATTTTGACTTCAGACGTCGATTTTCTGAGAGAAGTGTTTGTCAAACAGTTCAGTAAATTTTACCAAAGAGCAGTGAGTAATGGTTTTTACTAATGCCACCCTCCAGAGTTTTTTTTAATCAATTGCATTACAGTTGTGTTTAAATAAGACACCTGATTCTGCACTGGAACTGAGCACATTTGGCTCTTTTTCAGATCCCTGAATTCATAGATACAGAGAACGAAGAAGTGGGGATGCTTTTGGCTAAAGGAAAACGATGGAAGCGATTGCGATTAGTAAGCAACCCGTCGTTCTCCACCCTAAAAATGAAACAAGTAAGAATGAGAATGATTGTGGAAAGTAAACCGTTTGTTAAGAGAATAAACGTTGTAAGATAAAATGTTTCTCTCACCAGAGAGCACACAAGCCAGTTGTGTGATTCAATTCCTTTGAGTAATGGTCGAATATCCAAGAGGAAACACCCGAAGACACTACTAGTCTCTTTTAAGAACACTTATTTATTTTACCACCTTTAAAGATGTCACAAGAGAAAGTGAACAACATATACCGCCACTTTGTAAACCCTCTTGTAGTATCTACTAGTAGCAGGGATTTGCCGGGAACTTTTAGGGCAATGCATACTTTACTTCAATTAACATACTGTTGTAAGCAGCATGTGTGGCTGCATATTATTGCAGATGGCGCCACTGATCCAGGAATCGGTGAAGAGTTTCATGGAAGCTATGGAAAGGCGTTGTCAGGAGGGAAAGCCGTTTAATATCCATGAGTAAGTAATGTCGAATTCATGTTTTACGTATTGAATAGCCAGTAACCAAAAATTAGATGTCTGCATTATTATATCATTCAAGACCGTGCGGTATACTTATAGTATTTAATCTCGATCTATAATCATACGTAAATCATCGCTCTCTCTCTCTCTCTCTCTCTCTCTATTCGTATTGAATAGCCAGTAACCAAAAATTAGATGTCTGCATTAGGATATCATTCAAGACCGTGCGGTATACTTATAGTATTTAATCTCGATCTATAATCATACGTAAATCATCTCTCTCTCTCTCTCTCTCTCATGAAAGGAATAACTGAAGAACGACAAAACCTGGTAGTAAATTCATGTAATTTAATATGCCATTTATTTATGTTATGCAATTTAGTGAATTCCAAGGCCTCACCATGGAAGTCATCGGCTCGTGTGGTTTTGGTCTCGAGCTGAACTCAGTGCGAGATAAAACGTCACCATTTCTGGCAGCATGTCGTAAATTCTCCGGCACGTCATCACTAGCGATGATGGCGCCCTTCTTTATTTCCGGTACGCATATGATCACGTCGTGACAAGGTCATCCATGTATTGGCTGGCCTTAAGGTGTGTCAATTTGATGCCCTAATAATTTGGGCTTTGAAAACTGTATATAAACCCAAGGATCAATTATAACTGCTACGTTCAATTATCCTTATTTTTTTTTTACCTGATATGGCCTCCGGTAGGCACGTTGGGTTACACTGCCCGTCAACCGTGTTCAGCAGAAACAAAATATGTATGTGATCCGTAGCTTATGTTCCTGATTGCAGGGATTTTTCCATCGATGACAGGTCTAGCCAAGTTGTGGAACAAATATCTGATGAGAAAGAGGAGGCATGACATAGGCGCACTTGCCAGCGCTGCCATACAGTCCAGATTAAATAATCCAAAGGTATAATGAAACTATATTACTGGTAAAAACCTGTCATGGATTGGAATGAATTATGTCTAATAATAATGTGTTCTTAATTCACCAACAAGTAAGTAAATATAAAAATTTCAAAACGCAAATTAAAGCCCTACGCTTAAACGCCTCTATGAGTTTTGGGTTTTCTTGTAAAATATATATAAAGATCAACGCGTTAATAACCATAAAATTATTGAATGACATGA